CAGCAATGGCTGAAGGGCACCCCCCGGCCGCGGCAATGGCTTCTTATAGGCGTTCAAGGCTGCCGTTTGCCAGGCCTCAAACCCTCCAAACGCTCCAAAAGTCCGCCCAGCTCCGCAGGGAAAAGGTACCCCAACAAGCCCAACACGCGCCACTCCTTGCCACGCCCAACGCTGCAGGCAAAAGCCACCACAAGGCCACAGCAGTAGTGGTAGTGGAAATTGTCCGGAAATTGTCGCCACTCCTTGCCACGCCGACGCCGACAATGACTCCGACAATGACACCGACAGTGGTGTGGTGGTAGTACTAAGAGTAGTAGCAAATCTAGTAATGAGAGTCAGGATCCATGCGTGAACGCATTCGCGGTCCGGAAAACTCACAGTAGTACCAGCAGCACTAGCAGTAGCAGATCAGTAGCAGTAGTGGTAGTGGAAATTGGAATAGGAGTAGGCGTAGGAGTTCTGGTAGGAGGGTGAGGGCATAGGCAAGGGAGAGAGAGAGAGAGGTTGCGTTTGGCCGGTTTCTGACTGGTTTCTGACCCTTCAGCGGGACTCGTGCCAATTGGATTTAAAAGCAAAGGCAGAAATTCCTAGGTGTACTAGTCGTCGTGGTGGTGCAGTAGCAGCGGGTGTGGTGGTAGTACTAAGAGTAGTAACTAATCTAGTAATGAGAGTAAGGATGCATGCGTGAACGCACTCGATTTCGAATTTGGGAGCAAAATAAGCTTGCGCGGTCCGGAAACGGTCCAGAAAACTCACAGTAGTACCAGCAGCAGTAGTACTAGTATTAGTATTAGTATTAGTATTAGTAGTAGTAGTAGTAGTCGTAGTCGTAGTCGTAGTCGTAGTCGTAGTAGTAGTAGTAGTCGTAGTCGTAGTCGTAGTCGTAGTAGTAGTAGTAGTAGTAGTAGTAGTACTAGCAATAATACTAGTAGTACTAGTAATAGTACTACTAGTAGTAGTAGTAGTAGGAGTAGGGGTAAGAGTAGGAGTAGGAGTAGGAATAGGAGTAGGAGTTCTAGTAGCAGGGTAAGGGAAGAAAGGGAGAGGGAGGGAAAGAGAGAGAGAGAGGGAGGGAGGGGGGAAACAGATGGTTGCATTTGGCCGGTTTCTGACGGGTTTCTGACTGGTTTCTGACTGGTTTCTGACCCTTCAGCGGGACTCGTGTCAATTGGATTTAAAAGCAAAGGCAGAAATTCCTAGGTGTACTAGTGGTAGTGGTGGTGCAGTAGCAGCGGGTGTGGTGGTAGTACTAAGGGTAGTAGTAGAAGTAGTAGAAGTAGTAGTAGTAGTAGTAGTAGTTGTGGTAGTAGTAGTAGTAGTAGATTAGTAGTAGTAGTAGTAATAGTAGATGTAGATTAGTAGTAGTAGTAGTAGTAGTAGATTAGTAGTAGATTAGTAGTAGATTAGTAGTAGATTAGTAGTAGATTAGTAGTAGTAGTAGATTAGTAGTAGTAGTAGATTAGTAGTAGTAGATTAGTAGTAGTAGTAGTAGTAGTCGTAGTCGTAGTCGTAGTCGTAGTAGTAGTAGTAGTAGTAGTAGTAGTAGCAGTAGCAGTAGTAGTAGAGGAGGAGGAGTAGTAGTAGTAATAGTAGTAGAGGAGGAGTAGTAGTAGTAGTAGTAGTACTAGTAGTAGTACTAGTAGTAGTAGTAGTAGTAGTAGTAGTAGTCGTAGTAGTAGTAGTAGTAGTAGTAATTAGTAGTAGTAGTAGTAGTAGTAGTCGTAGCCGTATAACCAATCGCCAACCAATCGCTCAGCCTATCGCGATGCAGGTTTTGGCAATCGCGCAAAGCAGAGTAAACGCATCAATTCATAAATTTGTTACCTGCTTTTACGGACGGCTCCCATATATATATGTGGGATCATGTGCTACACCATACTCCCCAGGTTGATTGCCAGTACCCCCCCTCCAATTAGGGGGGTCGGCGGCACCTGGGCGCTAGCCCATTTTATAAATATAACATATGTATAATTACAAAGTTCCTATAGCTGCTTTGTTGAGGGTAAGAATGAAACACCAAGTAGTTCTCCATATCATCCATGGCCTACTGAGATTTGCCGGGCGCCCCCTGGACCCCCTGGACCCCCTGGGCCCCCTAGCCAGGTACACGAGGACATCAACGTTGTATACACCTACAGCCAACCCACCAATTCAGCTTTCTGAATCTTCTGGAGAGACAATCATCACCAATCATCCCTGAATATCCATGAATCAAACAGAAAAATCGTGCAACAAAAAAATAATCTGTCCAAGTTGAAAACATCAAACACGATCACGTTTGAAATTGGTTGCCTGGTTTCAGGTAGCTTCCAACAGCCCATGTTGCTGAAATAAGTCCTGAAAAATCTGGTCTTGCATCGACTGACCCAAATGATCTGGCCCCTGAGTTCATCATGTGAAGTCCTGATAAGGGCTGGGTATAAACCCAGTGATTTTACTCTGGTTGGTGGTTTCAACCCTACCCCTCTGAAAAATATGAGTTCATCAGTTGGGATTATGACATTCCCAATCTCTGGAAAAACATATTATTCCCAATTATTATTCCCTATATATGGCTGGGATTTTATTGGGAAACATAAAAGAATAATGTTCCTAACCACCAACCAGTACTTGTTGGGGATTGGAAGTTGGAAGACCACTTTCCCAACTTGAGATGGGCGCTCGTGTCGAACTGTCAGACAATGCAACAGTTGGGTTGGTAAACATTTGCTACTAAATAAAGTTCAAACAGCAAACAAAATGTGATATATCTGGGTAAATTATAATATTTCACTAACCTGAATCTTGCGGCCATAAAAGGGGATGATTTCCAATACTAACCATTATTCCAGTGAGTCAGGTCGCGACGTGAGGTCGTGATGAAAATTACCCAGATAGATATATATGTCTATACACAACTATATTAACTATGACTCATATCTATAAAATCTATAGTTCTATGCGCTTATGTTTTCTTTCCAAACCTTAAAGATCTTAGCGAATCCTTGGGAAACCAAGATTCGATACATCACCTCATGGAATCAGCTGCTGGATGATTTTGCGTTTGGCTTCCCAACCTCTTGGCAGAATCTACGATGTCCTTTTCCCATTGGTTGGTTGATTAAATATTAAATATTAATGATTAATCAAGGATAATAATGATTAACCAGTTAGCAATCAATATCAAATAATTAAAATATAATGACCACTAATGTCCTTTTGGTAAAAATAGATGGGCCGGTGACTGGTTAATCCCATCTAGCGTCATTTACCTATTGTTAAAGGGGTTTCTACAAACCCCTCTATTAATCAACCAACCAATGGGAAAAGGACATCTATGATAATGACGTACATCTGGATGTGCGTTAAGTTGTTTTTGTAAGAAATCACACGTTTGAGCATCTAGAAAATAGATGAAATTAGTATGTCTCTGGTAAACTAACATAGCTATTGAAAATGACCATTTATAGTTGATTTACCCATTACTAATGGTGATTTTCCATAGCTATGTTAAATTACCAGAGGGTATATCTTTGTAAATTCCAATTAGGAGTGCTGTTGCCACAACACTTTACCAAACCGAGCTGGAGAATCCAACAGTTTCCAGAGATTTACTCTGCGTGTCAAATCTCCAACCATATCGGCCCATACCCAAAATTTGGGATGTGGCTGAAACAATGCCATTTTTACCAGCCATGACTGGGAGTTGGGGGATGGTTTATGATGTTTTTTTTCACATTGTTTTACCTACACTATCTGGTTGGTGGTGCAATAACCATCTTGAAAAATGATGGAGTTCGTCAGTTGGGATGATGACATCCCATTTTTTGAAATGGAAAATCATCCAGCCATGTTTGAAACCACTTACCAACCAGCTATCCTAAATGTTCAAAATGAATGCCGGTACCACCAACCAGTCATTAATCACCATTAATCATTAACCAACATCATCAACCATTATTGTCCATGATTAACCATCATTAATCATCAGTAATCACCATGTTCCAAACCACCAATCAGAATAATTATAGATATATTAAGTCCCATTAAGCCATATTAGCCAGTTAATCATAATCATTAACCATAAATATATGTTTAATATCCCATCAAATCATCATTCATCATCATTAATCAACACTAATCAAAAAAATCATCATCATTAACCATAAATAACCAGAGGGTAACTATGTTCATTTACCACTAAAAAAGGGTGATTTTCAGGGTCTATGTTAATTTACTACAGGAAAATCACCATGCTAATGGGTATATAAATCCACTATAAATCACCATGTTCAATAGCTATGTCAACCCTGGATTAATAAATGAATGCCGCTTTCAATGAGGAAAACACCAAACCAGCCACTTTACCCGCTGGGGCTGTCGCCGCCGCATTGGGTTGAAAGCCGAATTTCTGCGGCAGTTCCTCTAAGACCTGACTTTTTGAGGCTCAAAGAATGGTGGAAACGTGGGGAAAAATGGGGAAAACTTGGGGAAAAATGGGGAAAACGTGGGAAAACATGGGGAAAACTTGGGAAAAACAGTGTTTGGTGTTGGATTTTTTGCATGAATCTCATGTGAACCATGAGATTAATGGTTCATTTCATCATCAATAATGGGATATATATATATATATATCATGGGATTTCTAATGAGATTCATAATCGGAATATCATGGGATATCATGGGATATCATGGGATATCATGGGATATCATGGGAGCATAACTAATAATATGATATATGGTTTATGGTCATCCATCCCATGCCATTGGAATTCAAACATCCCCAATGACATGGATTGATGACCATCCCCGAGTTTGACCAATGAACCCAGGTCTGTTGCTTTGATGCTGTGGCATTTCGAGCAAATACGCGTCATTCATTGATTTTAATGACCAATGAATATAATGCATATATATGATGATGATGATGATGATGGTGATGATGATGATGATGATGATGATGATGATGATGTAGTTGACGTGTGGTAACCAAGCACGGGGTTTTCCACACACAAGCTGCTTCACGCAGCCGTAGAATCACCAGGATACATCGCCACCAAGTCAGAAGAAGCCTGGCAGAGACGTTCAAGTGCAAAATGAGACCACTTGGCGCAGTGGTTAATTGAATCCTCACATGATGTGTTCAGAAGAGCTTGCGCAAGGCCAGCAGCGCTATCCGCACGTTCATTGAGTAACCTACACAGGTTTTCATCCAAATTGTTGTGACGCCAATGTAGTTGTTTTCCATGAGACGGCACCCAATGGCACCGCAATTGTGCATCCTTCAGCACGCGCCACGGTGCCAAATAGAAACATGGCTGAAGAGTCCTTTCCCAAAGGCGAAGGACGAACATGCTGTCAGTCAAAAGGTCAAGCTGAATATCCAATAAGTTGGAGACTTTGGCCACGATGCATGCGGCGTACACCTCAGCAGCGCAAGAACATAAATCCAGTCCCGGCACAACCCCGTGGAATGTAGTGCCACAAGCACAGGCCAAACCCCATGTGGCTCTCCATTTCCAAATGACAGAAGCGTCAGACGCCACCAAGCGAGACGAACAAGCACGAAGATGTTGAACAAGTGTAATGGAATCGCGGTCCAAATCACGTGAAGCCATCGGCGAGGGAAACTGAGCTGCAGACACACACACAACCGCAGTTCACTGTCATTTGCCGGCTGGTCAAAATCAAAGGAACTTTGCAAAGGGCAACGCCACGCCAGATGTTGTCGGGAAGGTGAAGGACAACCACACCGACAAGCCACTTCAATACCCAACTGACCAGATAAAGTAGGCCCATCCATGGCACCCCCTAATGCAGTACGCAGAGAGGGGCGATGAGAAGCACGAGCAGCAAGCCAAGTTTTGTGTGTATCCAAAACCGGAAACTTGTTCTGAAATGAAGACCAGTCCATGCTTTTGAGTCTCGGTTCCGATGACCAAAGGTATGTTTCCCAAGCCAAAATTGCAAAACGACGAATTGTAGCCAAGCCGTCCCAAGCAAGATTCAACGCGCCAAAAGGAGTAGCAAACACCTGAGGAGCAACTTGTTGCCACTGCCACTTGCTGAGCACTTCACGGAGCCTTGGAGAAGAAGAAACCCGCGTCCGCAGTGCCTGTGCACTAGGAGACAGTTTCCACAGTTCATGACGAATGACCGAGAAATCCATCACAAACTCAGGATCCAAATGAGCACCAAAGTGGCAAGCCCAAAGCAGAAGACGAGACCTGGATTTGACCGGCGTCATCATAGCACGCTCAGTGCAAACACGCCAACGATGTAAGTTTTTCTTTGAAAGGCCATACCAAGCACCAGTGTGAGAAAACAAAGATAAAACCAATGCACGAATGGCTCTGATCTTTGTTCTAAAAGGAAGTCTCGTAATGCGAATGCGAGCTAACCTCTGCAACACATGATTCCGAATACGATCAGCAAGCGGAGTAAATTTACGCCTGGACAGGTTGTATTGGACACCAAGCAACTTGAAAGAGCCCACCACCGGCCAGTGAAAGTCAGAGTTTACCGCGGCGGCCTTCAAAATAGTACAAGATGGTTTTCCTGTAGCGAAGAGTTCACACTTGTCTGCATGGAAAGAAAAGCCCATAGCCAGATCGATTTGCTGAGTACAAACCAATGCATCCACCACCCTCTGTTGTCCGTTGTTACCAAGTGCCCAAACCGTACGGTCATCGATGTACCCAGAAATTGACACCGCAGCACGCCGAAGGACATGGAAACCCCAAACGCTCATGAGACCAGCCAACAAAGCAGGCGACGCCGGACATCCCTGTAAGATGCTTGTAGAACAAGTGAATTCCGTAGCTGCACAAACTTTTTGAGACTCAAAACGTCGAGCAGAGAAGGAATAGAAAAACCGCAATAAACCAGTAACTTCGGTAGGAGCTTGCAAATGATCCCACGCATGGATGGCCTGCAATGGCGACACAGAGTCAAAGCACTTGCGAATGTCCAGTTTTGCACCAAAGAATTTTCGATGGGTCTGCAAAGCTTGGAAGATGTCGTGATGCAAGAGCTCATGAGCTTCACGAGCATCACGATGTTTGAGTCCTCCCAAAAGGAAAGGCGGCAACCAAGAATCAAGCCAAGGCTGTAACTGCTGCAAGATGGAAGTCATACCAATCCTCCACGCAAGACAAGCGACTGAGATGGGTCGCAAGCCACCCTCCGGCTTGGGAACTCACACCCACCTGATGTGTAACCAATCCTGAGGTACCTGTTGTACTGAAAGACATGCCTGCCAAAGCGCAGCCAAGCAAGTGAAGAATTGATTGGGCAAAAGCAACCACTCACAAGGACGCCAACCATCAGAACCAGCGGCCTTATCCCGACGATGCCAGGTGAGTTGACGAAGTTCACCACCGTCAAAGATCAACTGATTATTCCATGTACCAGAGGGAAAATTGACGAGCCAAGGTTGCAAGTCAGCTGCTGTACGAGGCGCACGATTCCACATGCGCTGCCATTCATTCTGAAAATGTTCCACCTTAGCCTGAGGATGTAGTGGCACGCCTTCTGTAAACACTGAATCAGACGCCTCACGGCGGACCCATTGAAACAACGCCGCATCAGCCTGAGTAATGCGGTTCTGCCAAGCCTGAATACGATGATCCCGAGCACGCTGTTCCAGATTGGATATACACTGTTCAATGACACCAAAACAGTTTGGATCGGCAAAATCCAAAGTTCGAAGCGAATCATAATGCACACAGAGTTGAGCCCAACGCCGCCAAAGGTTGTTGTGCAACTTGAGATCGAAGCGACCTCGCTGGCAGTGAACCTGGTATTCCTGAAGTTGACGACGAAATCTGTGCAACTTACGTTCCTGAAAAGTCAAAAGCCGGTTGGCTTTGAGGTGTTGTCTTGGTACAGGTCGAGGCGCGCGATCCTTACCCCTGCAAGGATGAGGAAATTCAACGTCCACAGTCAGAATTTTGTTTGCACATGAGTTCAAAAGATTCCACGCAGTTTCGATGTCACCATCCAAAAGAGCAGCATCGAAAGCATTTTGAGGGAAAGAAGAAATCCACGTTTCAGTAGACACCTGTTCAGTGACCCCAATTTTACCCAAAGCAGGTTTTGCAAAAGTAGTTTCCAAGGACAAGCTTGAAAAATCATATATGATCAAGTCATGGTCTGCCACTCCGGGTTTCTGAAGGCGCGCACACGGGTGCATGCCGAAGGAGTGAACACAGTAGTCAATGTAACGTCCATCGGTTCGAGTTGTGAAAGACGTGTTGGCAGCAGAATCCACATGGTCGGCCATATGCAAAGCACCACCTAACACAGTAGAGAAAATCGGCTCCTCAAAAGGGGTGAGGTTGAAGTCACCAATGATAAGACGGTCTTCTCCTCTCAATGCAGTATCAGTGAGCACTGAAGTGGCTAAGTCAGCTGCTTTAGTTTTGTTACCAGAGTGTAAGTACACATTTGTGATTTCAAAAGGCCGATGCCGAGGTCTATGGACCTTAACCGTCATCCAACGACCAGTGTCAGCACCAGAAGCTTGTTCATAAAGTTCAACCGGCCAATTGCAAAGCACTGCAACCCCAGAAGTACCCCGGCCAGCCGTGTCAAAGACCGGTGTGGAACACAAGAGATTGTAACCTGCACGGTGAGCACCATGTTGAGCAGATACCACCGTGTTGTGCGTCAAGTGAGTTTCTTGTAAACAAAGAATATCAATATTGTAGGTAGTAACCAAAGAAAGAACACTAGTGAGCTTGAAAGTCAAACCTTGGACATTCAAAGTAGCAATTCGAAGAACCGAACTTTGCTCATTGCAGTGCGGGAGTTCCCGCAAAGGGTCACCAAGACCCTCAGTCATGGATTTGAAGTTTGCACGTGAGTCGCAGGCTCATTAGTAGACAAAATGTCAATGAGCTGCTTCATTTCTTTTCGGCGAGTCGTGCTGCGACCAACCGTCTTTGCCATATTGTCAAAAAGCCTTTTGCGACGGAAGGCAGGCAAAGGTCCATTGCAAGGGATGTCAGCCAAACTCTTGTACATGCCCGCCAAGCGTTTGCACTTGATGCAGAAGGTGTTGTCGGCCCTGGCCAGTTTTAACCAAGCGGGCTTATCAAACTTCCTCATCTCATGGTCTCCAACTGCACGTGGTTCGCTGAAAGTGAGTTGAGAAATCATCTCCTTCAACTTTGGGGCTCTGTCAACAGGCTCTTCGCTCAGTAACCCCAGCAACTTGTTGAGAAAGGCCTGGCGTCTACCAAGAAAGGAAGAGTCAACCTTGCACTCGCTCTTGTCCAACTCCTGCACACTTCTGCTCAAGCGCTTGCAGCGTGAACACAGGACATCTTGTCGATTCTCTCTATTGGTCCACCAGGTTGGCCAATTGAAGAAAGTGACCTTGTGTCTACTGGACTTACCCTTGAGGATGCGGCTCATGGCTGCCTTGTTGCGCACAGCGGCATGCGCTCTCTTCAGGGACTCCTTGACCCGGACTCCGGCTTTGAAACTGAAACCTTTCATAGGAGCTTTGTCATGCTTAGCCTTTTTGTGTCTCAACGTGGCGTCACGCAAGCGAGAGACATTGTTGGCCTTTCTTTGAACGTGAGTGAGTCCACAAGAACACAAAGGACATTTCCAGTAAACATCTGTGTCGTGGACTTCCTTCACCTGAAGTGTCTGGACAAGTCTAGCCTCTTGTCGCTTGTCAGGATGCCAGGCTTTGAGGTGTTCCTTTTTGCGATTGTAGAGGTTCTTTCCAGTGATTGTGACCTTGCAGTAAGGGCAAATCCACTCAACGATTCGGCCTTGACGCCGAGGTTTGGTAATGCAACTGCGCTGCTTAGAGTCAGTGCTGGACCCAGGCAGGTTGACTTCATCTGGGTCAGCGGCAGCCATTGCTTCACTGAATGCAACTGAAAACTCACCATAGCGAGGAGTGCTGACTGAAACTGGCTCTTGAGGAAGAGCACTGACGCGAGTAGCACCACCACCAGACTTGGTGCTAACTGGGCGTCCCACACTAGGGCGCTTTGAGTCCAGCAAAGCAGATTGTCGTGTCACACCTGAGCAGGAGGCACTGTCCACTGAACCTCCACGTCCTCCTTGTAATGGGCCATTGCAACTTTCACCGGCCAGAATGACAGCAGGTGTTTTGCCTTTCAACCACTCATAATGCTCCTTATGATACCAGAGGCAAATAGGTTCACCCTTGGCATTGCGATTGTACACTTCAGAGTGAACCATGTGTGGTCCCAGGACATGGATGGCTCTGTCAAAGTGAGCCGCAGCAGCTGCAATTTCCAGAGCACCACCCCACGCCATGTTCTTGTTGAGCAACTTGATGTAGTTTTCCCAAGTTGTACCTACCTCGCCATTCGGGTTCTTTTGGTCCCACCATGGCTTGTAGCGCGACTCATGTCGCTTGAGGTGGCTGATCACAGACGAGCGCACAGACATATGTGGCTTAGGCTTGTCAGGGTTCAAAGCCTGTCCAATTGCTTCAAAGATGCAGTTGCCCTTACCAGCGTTGGGCACCGCAACCATGCCGTCAGGAATTCGACGCTGAGGAGTTTTGACGCCAGCACCGGCGTCGCTGATGCCACCTTCCCCTTCCTTCTGAGGCATGTTCTCATCTTCTTTCTGATCCTCATCGAGTTGAGTAGCAGCAACTGCCTTGTTCTGCTCTTCAACGCCAGTGCCCAAAGGGGCCTCTGTCCTGACTTTCTTCTTGAGCGGAGAGTCAGGGTAGAAACTCCTGTGAACAGACTTGGGTCTGTCTTGCACAGCAGTGTCATTGAACCAAAAGAAACACCGGAGGTGCTCTTTAATGATTGCTTCATAGTGCGCGGTCCACGCGATGGGGCCTGAGCAGTAGCCAAAACGGTAACATTCTGGAACTCAAACTCCAAAAAGTCCAACTTTTCCTGGCCACGAGCTGTGGCAAAAAGGACACTGTACCTGCCGTCGCCGCTCAACCCACAGTTGCTGACACAACGGTTGTAAGGTTGAGCACAGAGGCGAGATATCACCAGCCCGACAAGTGGAAGTATTTGGTTGACAATGCGGCTCCTCTTGCTCGGAAATGGCTCCAAACTCATGTTCCTGACCCACATCTTCGTAAGATCAGGGATTTATGGGGCACTCAGCTTGAAACTTCCAAAGGTGGTGGTCAGGCAATCATCACTGCAAGTTTGCGCATCGAAAAGACTGCGTTACATGCGCTGCTGGCTTTGTCTGGTCGTGATGCTTGGTTCGTTGAAGCTATGCGTTGGGACTATGGCAATGTGCCGCCTTGCACGGTAAACTGGATCAAAAGAAATCAAAATGAATCAGGTCCAGATTACGCCTCAAGAGTCGCCAGCCTTTCTGGCACGCTCGGCATTGCTCGTGGTTGGAAAAGTTTAGGCACACGTGTTCCTAAGGCCCCTGGTGCTCCTGACCAACCTCGCACTTGCACTTGGAAAATCACTGGTGTTCCTCGTGATTGGGGGCATGACTGCATTGTTGCTCAGATGACTCAAGCTGGACTGTCAGATGTTCAGGTGACCTCACGTCGTACCTACTGTCTGAACCATTTTCTACACTTTAGGCCCATTGTCCTCGCCAACTTGGATAAGGTGAGCCAACCGAGGCACAACCTTACCACCACGTAAGCCAGGAATTTGGGTTAAATTCTTGGGGTCATTGGCAATGTCCTGTTTGGACGCCAGTAACACTGCAGTGACACCAACTTTTGTGAGTGCGTCTGAGCCTGCCTCAACTAAAGTGCGCAGGTCATTCAACTCGTCCTCATTGAAGACTTGTACTACACATGAAACATCTTTCTGGGCTTCCGGAAGCAAAGATGCTAAAGAATCATAGGTGTGGATCTCTCCATTCCAGTCACTTTGTATCAGGCGCCAAACTGGCGTGAACTCAGCAGGATGCGATTTCGAAACCGGCTTACTTGGCTGAGTTTGTGCAGTTGCTTGCCCCGATTTTGCAACATCAGCGAAACTACGGGGCTGTGGATCAGCAGGTGCTGGTTTGTCACTGGCTTTGGTACCAACGCCAGTTGGAGGGGACTTGCCTGTCCCCTTCTTCACTTTATGCTTTCTTTTGTGTTCTTTCTGTTTGCCATCCAACTTCACAGGCACAAGATCCGTAAACATG